ACGTCACTGGTGGTCATTGAAGGCAATCAAACGGCTATACGATACAGGGATGACATCCTCCGATGTATAGTGCAACCATATCGGCAGCATTTCGGAGAGGGATTTGTCTTAATGGACGACAATTCTCGCGCTCATCGTGCACATTTTGTGAATGCGTTCCTTCATGATAACGAAATCGCTAGATTAGAATGGTCAGCATGTTCTCCAGACATGAACCCTATCGAACATGCCTGGGATACATTGAAAAAGGCTGTTTTTGAACGAGATGACCCGCCAACCAATCTGAGAGATCTACGCCGAATCGCCGTTGAGGAGTGAGACAATCTGGACCAACAGTGCCTTGATCTAGTGGACAGTATGCCACGACGAATACAGGCATGCATCAATGCAAGAGGACGTGTTACCGGGTATTAGAGGTACTGGTGTATGTTGCAATCTGGGACACAAATTCAGAAAGTCTAGATTATTATTGTACAACTTGTAATTTTTTGTTTTCATGAGCAATAAAGAGAGCTGAAATGTTGTTTTTGTATATCTCTATTTCATTTTTATGTCTATTTCATTTTTTATGTCAGGAACTCTTAGAACCGCGGTGATGCAACACTTTTTTTGATGTGTGTATGTTCGTTTATTTCATTGAGAAGGAAATCGATACTGCAAGTACCAAGGAAAAATCGTAGTTTCCTGTTTTACGTGAGTTTACGCACGACGCTCGTCAGCGGATTGGGGTACTCTATCACTCTATTGTGAATGATGAGACAATAAGCCGTGTGTTAGCTGGAACGTTCTCCTTGCATTCGAATTCTACGCGAACGTTGACGGTGGCGCTCTTGATCGATTCGTTCTGGTGGGAGCAATTGATGACCACAAGCGAATCGTGTTGCCGAAATCTGGTGATAGTCATGAATGGTTCGCAGGTCTCGCACTCGTAAATTTCAGATACATATTGTACAGCACAGCGAACTTGTTATGCTCAAAATCTAGGTTCATATCGTCGTAGGAATAGAATTCAAATAGAGTTTTACATTAATCAACTTGCAATCGTCGAATTTGAAACCTCTTCCGACGGTACGTTTTTCCTTCCGGTCTGTAGCGCGAAGATCACGTATCGCGGTTTCTCTAATTGCATCGCCTTTTACCGCTCACGAATGCTTGGTCGTACTTTGCAGTAGGGGAAATTCGTACAGATCCCATGAACGAAAGCCCATGCTCAGATATCATTCGCTTTCTAACGTTCGCAGAAGCGATAGTTTGTTGATGTTTAGTATCACGTGCGGCATTCGTCATTGTACCTTCAATAGCGTGATCTTTGGTTTCTGATCCGGATGTGCCATCACGCAATTATTATCGTTGCGAGCGCGTATCAGAATAAGTTCGTGTCGCGCGTTTATCATCATGCGCTTATAATCCTCGCAAAAACCGAGGAGTACGTTAAGAGACACGTAAAAGTTGAAATCGTCTAATGCTATAAGCGGGATCTCCCATCCGGAGTTCTGTAAAGCTCTCTCTCGTAGCTCAACATTTAATTTTTCATCAAAGTCGTTATTCCGACGTTTTTGCTGCTCTTATCGATCTCCACGCCATTGAGTTCACCCTCTCTTGTCGCGAGCTTTCCCTCGATGACAGAAAACTTTCACACGGCAACGTGTACAGATCCTGCTGCTGTATAGATATTCGTATCTCGTCGCCGAATCTGAACGTGGTGTTAGCATACGGATTGTAAGTGTGAGTTTCTATCCTCACGATACGATCGTCAAAGATCCAGGTACCTCCAGTATTTAAAATGTTGCTCGCTATATCAATTTTTCATGACAAAATCTAAAGATTCTTAAGTAACACCTATATAAAATTTTCAAAAAATCGATTTTTTTCTTTTAAAATACACTTTAGGGTCTCAAAAATGAAGTGCAAATAATTTTATTGCGATACATAATTTTTTTCAAAAGTTAGTTATAGGCGATCCGCGCCGAGCGCCTCACAATGCTGCTGGTCGGACGGATCGACCGCGCGGTACGTCGAAATGTTCAGGGCTCGTAGGGTCCAAATATTTTTATAATTAGATGCAAAAATGCATCGGTACTCGGCTGAGAAATTTAAAAAAAACGGTGAAAGATCTGAGAGGAAAAGCTCAGCTAACGGACAAACTGATCAATCAACTAGTGATTTATTACGGTTTAGCCATCAGAAGAAATTATAATTCAATAGAAAAAATGAGAAAAGAAATATGGGTAACACTACATCGTCGTAAGATCTCAACGGACAATTGACTTCAGCACGGAAATATCCGAGTGATGCTAACTCGTGGTGCACATGGCGAGATAACGAAAGCTACAGAAAAACTGAAAGACTATAAGTACAACTCGGTAATATCAGTAGAAGTTTTCAAAGCAATAAAACCTATTTATACAGAATTGAGCTTTGACGGATTGTTTAATCGCTGCTTGAGCGAATTTATCCAAAATAGCAACGAAAATTTTAATGTCACTGTGTGGTCGATGTCACCGAAAAGTTCATCGAATGGAAAAAAGTTTTAGATATTTGTGCATTGCCGTATGCTAATTTAATGATGGGATGTGCAGCATTAGGTATATAATCCAAGTTCTGGTTATTATTATCGAGTACAATTGTTATAATTTTTGCGTCGAAGCCAATGAACACTGCATCATGTTCTCCGATCGCTCACTCAGCGAGGTAGCGAAAGAGGCTCGTTCGAGCATAAAAACCGCGAGAAAAGACAAAGAGGATGAAAATCTGGCAATTAAAGGACAACTTTATGCTGGGATTGTAGAGAATAGGACCATCATCTCTCTGGAGTACCGGTCGTGGGGATTCGAAAGAATACATGTATATATGTATATTGTAATATACGTATATATATGTATCATTGTATTGTTGACATGTTATTCTAAATGTTATTCTAAATGTTATTAACATGTTATTTGCGATAAATATCATCACATGCCTCGGTAGTCGAAGGGATAAGATGCCTGCCCGGTAAGCAGGAGATCCAGGTTCGATTCCTGGCTGAAGTGATATTTTTTCGCAAAATAATTACGAGTTTTCAGTTCGTGGTCGGGCTCCGCTGTGACGCACACACTCTCTTCTTATTTGGGACTAAAGATAAATTCACGAAAAGTAAAAAAGTTAAATTGTTAACCTAAAAATATTCACATTCAAAACTTTAAACGCGATTTTCTCGAAACAGCATTTTTCAAATTGCCTAGCAGTAGAACAATTTTTAATCGATTTATTTCAAATATTGAGTACACAGTATTTAAAAATTACATTTTCTAAAGAAATACGTAGGATTTTTTTGATAAGTTACAAATTTTTTGTGTTACAGCTGATCTTACTCGACTTTTTTGTGACGAAAATGGAACTTTTTCTTTGTACTTCCGCCATTTTGCTAAAAATCAATTTTTTCAAAAACGGCTACGTATTTCTATAGATATTTGAGTAAAGAAAATAAAAAACTTTTTTTTGTTCTAAATAAAAAATTACGACACTTGTGCTGCTAACTATGAAATATCGTGCCAATTTTACTGTCTTCTTCACTGCTGTATATCCGCCATTTTAATAATTAAGACTTTAAAAACTTTTTTTTATTTTTTTACATATATAATAAAGTTATGAAATTCATTTTTTAATAGCGCGATTCATTAAATTTCTAAATTTTCCTAAAAATAGACCTCATTTATGGCCGGTTACATAGATGTTACCCCTTAAGAATGCGACGTTTGCAGCGTTCAACTCGCGTTCGCCTTTCCCTCGCGCACCTTCCTCGTCGCATCGTTCCGTGATAGGATCGCGGATGTAGCGTTTGCGTCTCTTCTCGCTTATGACTTGTTCAGAACGAGCATCTTTCGCTCTCGCGCATCTCTCTCTACTGCTTTCGTCGTCGCACATGAAGTCACAACGTTATCTTCTCTCCGCGAAAGTCGATTGATCGTCCGTCCTGATACACAATTCGACACGTAATATCAATGACATTTCGCGCGATGATCAGGAAGTAAAAAATCGACGTCGAAGCGTTCGACAGTTTATATCCCGGAGGAACGTTCGAAGAAAACTCGTGTGAACCGGTTCGTCGTTGCTGTACGCATCCGCGATGATATTACACTCCATCCGAATGATATTCACACTCATGATATTCACGGATTCGTCGGACGGATGCCATTTGTTCGGTCGTATCACACGCGACGACGAGAATCCTAGGAGCAAACCAATGTTGTTCGATTTCGCGAGTTGACTCGATACTCGCACCTGATCTCGCTTTTCATAGTGTTCTCATTGGCGCGAATGATCAGAAGTTGCGTGTCCCTCTTGCCCTCGTCGCTTTTGTCGTAAATGACGTCGTCGCTCTCGTCATCGTCGCTCGTCCTCTTGCTCTCGTCGATCCTTCGCCTCTGAGAGATAGCGGCGTTCAGATATCTGTCTATCGCGCTCAACTCGTGCAAATCTTCGGGAATCGCGATCGTTTTGTCGTCGTCATCGTAGTAGAATTTATTATTCGTAGAATCGACGTTCGGTATCATGTTATACGTTTCGAAATTCATGAGACCTAACTCGTAATCGTCGTCGCTCAGATTTAAAGCGTACGTCTAAAAGTAGTACGCCGTGAGAACGCTCTTTCCAGTGAACGAAAGGCTTAGCAACATCGCGACCAATCTCCGAGAGAAATCACAAGGCACAACTGATGCTCTGATCGTACGTCTGATACGAACCGCGATTGTATGTTATATTTATATCGTCACCGAGATATCTCTCGAGTTCCCTCGGCGATCAAAGATTGCCGAAACCGTCGAAATAAACTGCGTCGTTGCCTCTCTTCGCGTAGATGATCCAGTGTACCCGAACTCATCGAGTTATCGAGATTTACAATGCCACTCTCGTTGTGTCGCGCTTTCGACGGTAACGCATTACGCATAAACACTCCTCTGAAGAAAGGTATTCGCAGACGACGCCGAGGGGCTTAGCTGCTCGTTCGTCGTGATACCGAAGAGTGGTAACTCGAGCGATCTTAATGTTTCCTTCCATGATTTTTTTTTCGTTCTTTTATCACACCGCTGCCACGTTTGTAAGGCGCTAGGTGCAACCCATGACCCTTCATCGTCCGAGTGTGACGTTGCAACTCCTCCAGTTGACGCCGAGCGGCTTTACCGGCGTTCATTGCTTTCGCGACGCTTGCCGCGCTACCGATCAAAGAACTGAGCACGCCTAGTATCGGAAAAGTAGGCAACAAGCCTCCGCGTTTCGCCGTCGGAAGTATCTTCCTCTTCTTCTTTTTTAAATCCATGCCCAGCTTTGTTTTTGCTTTCATAGCCGCCCATACGGTGGTCGCGGCGGTCCTCTCGTCGAAGATGGAATCTCCGGCCGTTATACGTTCGCGCGCCTTCTCGGCGAGAACTCGATCGGCAGCGTGGCGATCGGCGAGTTCCTTGTTTCGTGAGTAGACAATGTCATGCTCGCGGCACGCCGCATTCAACGGTTTGACGCCTCGATCGCCGCGCGCCAATAGCTTCGCAAAACGAGTGCCGCAAAATTGATACCCGGGAATATGTAGTTCGAAAGGAAGCGCATTTATCGCCGCATCAAGTAATACCGCGCCGCTGAGCATTCGCTACAGTCTTGATGAGAGGCGCTGGACCGTCTATGTGCGTTCGTTGCCACGGACGATTATAATGCTCCAGACACATGCGACAACATTGCATCTCGGGGTCCGCTCTCAGATAATCGAGTAGTCTATTCCACAGTAGCTCTATTCCACAGTAGCTATCTGTCGAAATCGCGGACGAAAACGATCTTTGGGATAAGTCGCAACTATTCGGCGGATAGGTTGAGAATATTGCGTTTGTCTATCAATAGGGGAAACATATCGATTATTGTGCGTGATTGAATTATAAAGTATAAATAGAGCGATTATCGGTCATGTCTCCTTGAAGCGAGTGCACGCGCATAAATGCAATTCATTCGACGGTCGCCGGCTATAGGAGTGGCCAATCTCGACCGTAAGGCTCGACAAGTCTCGGGCGACGCGGTCGGGAAGGCGCGCAGACACGGTCCTCTACTACCGAACACGACGTCGTTGCATCATTTGCGGCCCCTCCAATTGCAGTGAAACGAACATATTGATAAGCATGCTCGAAAGCCCGTACGGCGTGCGTTTCGAGAACGTACGTCTATTCGAAATCCTTGCAACAACCGAAGTATCGATACCTGGCGGAGTTGCTCGAGTCAATAAACGAGATCAGCTATCACGCGTTCTCGAACAATAGTGATGTCGTGCCATTTTCCGAGACGCTTCCCGATTCGATATTCGTGTTCGACAATGTTGCCTATGACAAGTAGGACGGGATCAGGGAATATTTCGCCATGGATCCACACTCGAACATTGATTGTTTCTATCTCTGTCAGACGTACGCTAAAATTCCAAAACACTTGATACACGATAACGCGAATCTCTTGATTCTGTTTAGGCAGGATGACACTAACCTAAAGCACGTTTACAACGTGAACACGAATATGTTGTACAAGAATTTTTGCGTCTTGTGTCATGCGTGTTGGAAACAAGTACAGTTTTATAATCATCGATAAGAAGCGCGTTAAGAAATGGTGGATATGAGGATTTAACGATTTCGTCATGGTGTAAAGCAATGAATTGTGCGACGAAGATGGACATCGACGCTACGGCGAATATAGACGTCGTCCGATGGGAAAAAACGGCATGAGAGATCGCGAAGACTCAGGACTCTATACGTAAAAAGCACAAAGCGTTAAAGACCGGAGATAAAGGAGGAGATCGCGCTTGAGAAGCGATTCAAATCGATCACTCAGCCGTTGAAATGAATCGCCGAAAACATCGCGCAAGACGAATCGAGGGAATCGACTCGATCGCATCCATCGGCGTTAAGAGGAAACGCGAAACCGACGACAAGCCGCCGTCGAGACCGACGAAGAGACGCTTCTCAATGAGATCGCTCTCGACGGTCCCGCGACTAGAAGCGAGGAGGAATCGATCTCGAACGCGCAATGAGGACCGTTAGGTCGCAAATATATGGATGCGCTTCTAAGCAGGGACAGACAAAGCGAGATCGACTACGTTTACGGGGTGTACTTCGATGAGAGTGGCGCGACGCTCGGTGACAAGCGATTCGATGTGATCGACGACAGTGTAATCGTGGGCGACGTGCGATATCCAGATATTTCGGGCTTATACGAGTTGATATTCAAGAGACTCCCCGACGACGTCGTGTACACGGAGAACGACAAGCAAACATACAAGGATATACTGTTGACTATAAATGCCTATCGACGTGGTCATAACATGTTTATGCCCGTTCTAGGGAATAAAGGCTTCAAATACAAACACATCATCGCGCTGCTTTTGCTCGATAGAAGCAAAATTGGCGCTGATATTGGTAAGACGACAAGAAGAAGGATCGATCCCATCCGCTATGCGGATGAGAGACAATGGAATCGAATATGTTCACTGGAACGATTCTACCGAGCTAGTCAACCGTCTTCGATTGCTCGATGCCTCTCGACACGGGCAACGACGCTCACGATAACGAGATTCTGTCGATAATCGAGAAGTTTCGCGAGATCGACGCGATCGAGTAAAAACGCGGCGCGCGCTCGCGACAGCTGGTATTCCTGTTATGTTGGTGAACAAGTTTGAGAGACCGTTGGAGTCGTTCGGCGGAGACGTACACTCGCGACCGTCGATCGAGTCCATACGTCGTTACGTGCGTAACAACGCGCTCTGTCTAAGCGACGATTACTACGACGCGAGAGAGAAAACCATACGTTTAGTCGCACCGAGAACCGATACCGACGCTGCGAGAAAGAGCTACGTGGATAGCGCGTTTCGAAACGCGAAGACGAGGATTTCTGAGACGAGAAGATACGCGGACGAACTCTCAACGAGCATCCGAGCATTGTTGTCGGAGACAAATGAGAGGACAGCCAAGTCGATCGGCGAATTGAAAGAATCTGGCGCGTGTAACCAGATTGTTTCTAAAATACGATACGCAGATCGTCGAGATTACGAACAGATTATCGCGCGTGATAGATTCGTCACCCGCAACGACTTGATGTCCGTAAACAGTTCGGAAGATCTCTGAAGAGATAGCGCGGCATCGACGATCTCTACGAGCGTCGCAACGCACTCTGCCTGAATCCGGGCGATTACGATGTCAAGACAAGATACGGCATTTTGACGCGCTGATCGATGACACCGATGCGATGACCAAGAGTTACGTCAGCGACGCGTAAGAAGCGAGGAATCGAAAGCTCTAACGAACGAGCTACGAAAACAGCTGTTGAATAAGAGGATTCAGAATATTTTCCTACAGTATTACGATGTAAGAACCGAAGTGAACATTCTATGACACTTCGAAAAGAAAAGGGAGGTCTCGCCGATCACGACAAACGAATAGGGGAGACGAGAGACGCGATAGAATGAGCGCTCAAGAAACGGGACGAACTGCGAGCGAGAGACCTGAGCGAGATCCAAAGGGTCATCGAAACGCTCGGCGACGCTCAGGAGAAACGAATGCGAAACCTAGATGAATCTCTGTGAAAAAAGCTCAACGCATTGCGACAGATCAAGGAGAAGAGGGAGATCTCGCTCGTCGATCTTGATAACGATAGGAAGTACGAAAGTACGCGATAGAACGAGCGTTCGAGAGACGAGACGAACTGCGAGAGATCTGAGTGAGATCCAAAGGGTCATCGAGATGCTCGGCGACGCTCAGGAGAAACGAACGCGGACTCTAAGAAGAATCCCTGCGACAAAATCTAGAAGAATCCTTGCGAAACAAATTCGACGCGTCATCGACGAGCCGCGAGAGGATCTCGAGGGACGTGGAGAATAATCAATTTGATGAAAATTACGCGTAGCATAATCGATTTGACGAAAATCGCGAGAGAACTGACGGACAAAGCGATAACGAGAGAGAGACGCTGGACAAAACGCTGATTTCGTTGAACGTGGATAAAATGACTAGGAAAACGATAGACGAGTTACTAGTCGCGCTAAAAACGGATACTCTGAATATAAAATATGCGATTAACATTTGGAACGAGGAACAAGCACGAATAAAACTAGCGTGAATCGCGCCTCCGCGTAAATCGACGATGAGCGTCAAGAAGAGAAGACTCATCGGAGAGTTTCACGCGCCTGCGCGAAGGAAAGGAACTTTCCGCGTTATCATGTCGCGGTGCGCGGTTACAACGACCTGTGGCAGGCCGATGTGATCGAGACGTGTCCATACGCGCGACAAAACAAGAGTTACAACTACGCGATGACGATTATCGACGTGTTGAGCAAGTACGTGTGAACGGTACCGCTGAAAAACAAGAACGGAAGCAAGGTAATCAAGATATTTCATGACGATGCTTGACATCCGCGAAATCTACAAACGGACAAGGGCAAGGAGTTCTACAACGCCGCCGTAAAAGCAGTTACGAACAGGTACGATATGCGTCACTATTCAACGTACTCGGTGATGAAGGCGGCGGTGGGGCGGTTTAATCGCACGCTCAAGAACGACATGTGGAGGCTCTTCACGCTCAACGGATCGTATAAATGGCTCGATGCTCTACCCATTTAATCTCGGAGTGTAACAACTGCGTGCGTCGAACAATCGGAATGCGACCGGCGGACGTAACTCCCGCCGTTGCCAAGAAATTCCTCTCCACGGTATACAATCACTTGAAGATCGCAACCTCCGCGAGGTTCAAGATTAATAATCCGGCACGCGTCAGCAAGTTCAAAACGATATTCGAGAAAGGATATATGCCTAACTGGACGACCGAGGTTTTCCGAATCGCCAAGGTTCAATGAATTCCGTAACGTATCTGCTGAAAGACTATCGCGGAGAATCAATGGCCGGAGGATTCTACGAATATGAATTACTGCGAGTTTCCAATCCCGATATCTATCTCGTAGAAAAGGTGCTACGTAGAAAGAATGATAGGATTTTCGTCAAATGGTTAGGAATGGACAATATACATAATTCTTGAATACATAAAACGGCTGTATTGTAATATAATGAATAAAAGAGTACAAAGATGTCTTACGTGAAATGATTACTTATACTACAAATATTTATACTACATCGGTATCTAATAACGATATCTTATAATGACCCCATAGTAATGTATCGATGGAGTCGGATATTACGTACCGCTCGTCGTACGGACTTAAGGCTAGCATGATTTTGCATTTAGAGCGATAAAGCGGGATCATATAATCGTAATGAAATTCGTACAAACGTGTCTTGAATATCTCTAGAATGCACATACCGACGTAGATCGATTTGTTGAACTTAACTTCGAGTTTGCGCAACTCGACGGCCATGAGATTCTCGTCGAAGACGCTCCTGCTGTGAAAATTCGGTTTCGCGACCAGCGCCTTCGTGTTGTATCTCTCGTCCCAAGCATTATAAGTCTCACGTCTACGTGATTGCGCACGTTCTCTATAGTCTTGCCGAAAACCGCGTTGTTCATCAGCTTGTACAGATTTCTCTCGAACTTGTTACTCGCACGAGTTCTCCGTTCCGCATTAAGCTCGATGTACGTGCGCAGTCAAGAAGACTGTGCGAACTGCAATGTACGACGCACCCTCGTCACGCATAAACCATGTTGCACGTACTGCTAAAGATTGTAATAGTGCGTCACGTAATACGATTTGTCGCAGAGCGTGGCAAGTAGCTTTTCGTTCCGCTGTCCCGGATATTTCTCACGCGTCGGACAGAACGGAAAATCCACCTGAAAGCCATCATGAAGATATCGCGAACACTCGAGATCGACCTCTAGAATACAATCGATATCGGAGTCAAACGACATGGATATAACGTTGACTCTCAATGTCCTCGACCCACCGAAATTCTGTGTACGATAAGGGCTCGCACATGGCCGTAGAGATTGTTCACGTCGTAGTACATGAGATGTGACGACGGTCGAGACGAGTCATACGACGATTCGTATTGGTTGTTAACTCGCGCGTATTTATTCGAGTATTGATTTAAATCGCTGCGTATACCGCTGTGTATACTCTACGAACAACACCATATCGATAAGCAGATCGAATCGAACGTTCGTATATTGCAATATAGCGTATCCCGGTAACGTGAAATAATGCGCGGGATCCAAACCGTAACTTTCCATACAGGTGTCGCGAAAATTTTCAAAAACGTCCGCCAAGAGGAGCACATCCGTTTTCAACTATAGATTGCTACTCGTCGAGTGTCCTCACGCGAAAACGCTCCCATACTCTTCGCGTGCTCGTAATCGCTAGCGCTCACGGTTTCGCCAGTTAAAGAACTGTGAAAGGTTTCGATCGGCGGTAACTCGGTCTTTAATAATTTATCAACGCTGTCGATGTACTCGTACAGAAATACGCCTTTGCGCATAAGCAACTTGAAACCCTCCGCGACGAGACCGGAGAATTCGAATCGCGCGATCCTCAATTTTTCCCGATCTAGATACGAAGCTAATTTCTCGAAACTGGCATTGAGAAACTTAAACGAATCTACGAAACGTAGCTTAACGCAATTCTTCCATTTGCCATACGCCGAATCATTGACGGTTTTCGAAAACGCGATAATTCTCCTTAGTCAGCGGTAACAAGTCGACTCTACTCCGAAAGCGTTCGCTATATCTTTAATAATAAAATGCGCATCGTAACCCGATAAATTGTGAAAGAACATGGGAATAATGAACGCGTTCTGATAGTTCAAATTGCAGCTCGCATGCGCGGGATCTCTGTAATGTCCAGTGAGATGACAATGATCATGCACGCGAACGTCGTGCGGTTCGAATGTCTTCCCGCACACGTGGCAACGAGTTGCCCTTCGAAAAGCGCTCCGCTCGTCCGGCGTGAGCTCCGACATCAGTACGCTCGCAAAGAGAACCCTCCTCACGCGACATGCGAAAGCGCGCAGCTCATTGACGAACCACGCAGTCATTGTCGCGACGAGATCTGTACGCGGATGCGATTCCGCGTTACGAGCTACGCAGATAATATCCCACGCTGAACATCTTGTGATGTTGATAGATGAATCTGTTGTCGAGATTCCCCGCGCACCGTCGATTTCTCTTTTTTAAAACGCACTCCAGATCGGCGTACACGACAAATCGAAGTCTCTCCTTCCTGTCGTGATTACGGAAAGACAACTACTTTTCGTTCTCGCTCGGAAGAATAACGGCGCAGTCGTTCGCTCTTTCGCACTTGACGCTTTGCGCGACCAATTTCTCGTTCGAATAAAAGTAATGCAGACATCTGAAAAAAAGACGATCCATGATTAATAATAAAATTTATCTCGCGATGAGCATAATCTTTCTCTTCCGCTTATCGATCACATATGTGCTTCCTTATGTTTGTTTATTTGAAATCCCCACAATCGAGACAAGTGACAGACTTTATCCACACGACCGATGTTATCGCCGCGCCGCTCGACAAATAAAACAAGTTCATGTGCGTAGACCTCTTGTTCTCCGTAAGCAACAAAGGAAAAATCATGATACCATTCCTCTCCTTTTTCTCTCGAATGGCAAACACGTTGACAGACAAATCTGTCAACGTGTTTGCCATTCGAGAGAATAGTT